CGTGCCTTCCATTTCGGAGCACAACCTGGCGAAGATTGTACCCTTCGCAACCCGTGTGAGCAATCTCACTGCCTTCTTGCAGTCAGCGAAGGCAGATCAGCATTTGGGGAACCCAACCCTCATGGAAGACCTTGTAGCCAAGCTCCCTACAAGCAAACGAGTGGAGTGGGCAAGGCATGCCGCTTTAATATTACCCTTTCCAACCATTGTCCATTTTAGTTCGTGGTTGACGGAGTACGCCAACGTGGTATGTACGATCATGGATGTCGAAGGGAAAGAACCAAGGCGTCGTTTGCTGCATGCAAGCATCGACCAAGACCGAGGCGAGCATCAAGCAGTCGATTCAGATGTTGTCCAATATGTGGAGGACAACATGCAGTTAAGGACTGCAGTGATTTCAACGGAGCTACGCCACCAGACAGGTGGAGGCATGTGAGGAGGCATCGACTTTGTTTTTCGTGCCTACGAAGTGGTCACATGACTAGTTCCTGCAACAAGCATGGTGAGTGTCAACTCAACGGGTGTCGGAAGAGGCATCACCGTCTGCTGCATGGTGTGGATGACCAGCGAAGAAGGTCGCCGCAACGAAGCAGTAACAGAAGTTACAGCCAGCGGAACCAGCAGTCAGCTGTTCCTAGACGTAGCCTGGACAGAGGGGCGCCACAGGCAGTGGATGCGCCAGTACAGAGCAGAGGGGCGCCGCAGGCAGCGGAAGGGCCCGTACAGAGGATGCACAAGGATGCCCGCCTGCCAATGAGGCCCTACAGCAATGTGGTGCCGAAACTGCTCATTGGACTGGATCACGGACACTTGGGACTTCCACTTCGAACGAGACGGTTTGCCAGACAGGGACCATATGCGGCCGCAACCGAGCTGGGCTGGGTTGTCTTTGGGCCGACAAGTGGACAATCAACTACGCCGAGGTCCTGCTTCCTAGCTGTTTCATTGGATGACACTATTCAGAGAATGGTGGAAGACTATTTTGATGTTGAGAACTTTGGTGTGCTTGCGCCACCAGTCGCCGGCAGCGACGACGTGCGGGCGCGAAGACATTGGAAGATACCACGGTGAGAGTGGGGCAACGTTACCAAACAGGTTTATTATGGAAGGATGACTACATTGTGCTTCCACAAAGCTATGACATGGCGTACAAGCGGTTGGTCAACGTCGAGAAGAAGATGAAGCGCAACGGGCAGTTCGCGCAGGAATACACTAGGATCATCAATGATTACGTGTCTAAAGGATACGCTCGACGGTTGAAGCCTCATGAGGTCGCAGTGGAAAGTGGCAGGCTATGGTATCTGCCACACTTTGGAGTAGAAAACACAGCCTGCTCGCCAAGCGCTGCGCATTACGTGAAAACTGTAAATGCTGAACAGTTTCGTCATTCGGATCCAAGAGCAGTTAAGGCCATCATCGATTGTCATTATGTGGATGACTATGTGGACAGCTTTGCTACCGAGAGCGAAGCCATCAGTGTATCTACCCGTAAAGGGATACATGCGAACGCTGGATTCGAGCTATGCCAATTTTCATCCAGCTCACCCATTGTGGAGGCTGCATTGGGTCCACCAGGACGAGGCGAGAGCGTCGGATGGGGTGAGGCTGAACAGAAGATTCTGGGAATGTGTTGGCAAGCAGCCACAGATGACTTCAGGTTCAATGTGAAGTATCATCGAGTTCCAAGCAGCGTATTGAACGGCGATCGAGTCCCTACCAAGAGGGAGTATTTGAGCTTGGTCATGTCTACGTTCGATCCCCTGGGATTCTTGTGCTGCCTCATGATAACAGCCAAGTTATTGCTACGAGAGATTTGGAGGCAGACGATCCAGTGGGATGAACCACTTCCGGATGAGATATACAGAGCCTTTGTGAATTGGCGCAAGGAAATGAACACCGTGGGACAGTTCAGAGGCCCTCGCCATTATTTCGGGAATGGACTCGTGCGAGCTATAGAGATGCACGTCTTCGTGGATGCAAGCCAGTCTGCATTTGCGGCTGTGGCCTACTGGAGGGTCACTTATGAAGATGATAACGTGCTGGTGAGCTTCGTATGTGCCAGACGAAGTGCGCGCCCATGAGAACAATGTCAATCCCACGGCTGGAGCTGCAGGCAGCAGTTCTTGGAACTAGGCTGATGGACACTGTTAAAAGGAACACAGTGTGGCCATCAGTGACATCGTGTTATGGACCGACTCCAAGACGGTGCTAAGATGGATTGGTAGCACCCACCGCCGATATAAGCAGTTTGTCGGCAATCGTGTGGCGGAGATCTTGGAGTCGACGAAGGTATCCCAATGGAGATGGGTGCCAACAGCCGACAATGCGGCGGATGACGCAACACGTTCGCAATGCCACGTGGACCTCAGCCAGAAGTCACGTTGGCTAGGCGGACCAGCATTTTTGAGGCAGCCAGCGGGCAGCTGGCCACAGCCTGAATCTGGAACTGAACCAGGTCCGGATGGTAATGACGAAGAGGAGATGCCAAGTGAGTTTTCGCTTGTTGGTGCGAACGACTTTTGTATTTCCTTTCAGAGATTCTCGAGCTACAGTAGGCTACTCAGGACAACAGCCTGGGTCTTAAGGTTCACGCGCTGGTGCCGTGGACAAAGGAGCGAGCTCGAGAAGTACGGCCTTACTGCATCAGAGTGTGAGGCCGCGGAGAACCTGTTGGTCAGACAGGCACAACGTGAAGCGTTTCCAAACGAGATGCGGTCGGCAGAAGACGGCAAGATGGTTGCCGGCGGGAGCGACACTCGAGGACTGTCACCCTACATAGATGACCTTGGAGTTCTGCGAGCCTATGGCAGAGTTGATGCCGCATTTTGCATGCCGTACAGTGCGAGGAGGCCGATAATTCTGTCACACAGGCACAGTCTTACGGAGATGATTGTGCATCATTTCCACGTCAAGATGAAGCACCAAAATGTGGATGCTACGATTACGGAGATCCGGACGAGGTTCTGGATTACGAAGCTGAGACGTGTACTACAAAGGGTGATCTCAGCATGCAACGTGTGCAAGTTGCATAGGGCGCGGCCAACGCCGCCAATAATGGGACCCCTGCCGGAAGATCGCTTGGAGGCCCATGGTTGGCCGTTCAAGAATACAGGACTGGATTACTTCGGACCACTGTTGGTGACGGTGGCGCGTCACAAGGAGAAGCGATGGGTCGCCCTGTTCACTTGCTTGACGACCAGGGCGATTCATCTGGAACTGGCGTATGACCTGTCGACGGATTCCTGTATAATTGCGATACGGAATTTCGTCTGTCGTCGAGGGCCAGTACATAGACTACGCAGCGACAACGGCAAGAACTTCGTGGGAGCTGACAGGGAGGCCAGACGATTTGGTGACGTTTTCGAAATGGGAGAGTCCAGGATGAGCTGTCGAGCAGAGGTATCGAATGGGTATTCAATTGCCCAGTGAATCCATCTGAAGGAGGAGTCTGGGAACGCATGGTGCAGTGCGTCAAGAGGGTCCTGCGCCACACATTAAAAGAGGTGGCACCTAGGGATCATGTACTGGTGAGTTTCCTGATCGAGGCGGAGAACATCGTGAATTCGCGTCCGCTTACCCACTTGCCGGTGGAGGCGGACCAGGAAGCCCCGCTAACGCCAAATGATCTGCTCAGAGGAGTAGCTAACTTGCCGGACACGCCTGGCGAAGATGTGGAGCTGCCCAGGAGTGCGCTACACGCAAGCAGTGGCGTATAGCGCGACTAATGAGGGACCGTTTCTGGAAGAGGTGGGTCTTGGAGTACCTGCCTACACTCGTGCGCCGAGAGAAGTGGTGCCAAAGGACGGAGCCGATTCGCCAGGGTGACGTGGTCTTCATCTGCGATCCAGCCTTGCCGCGAAGAGAGTGGCGTAAGGGCATCGTGGAGGAGGTCTACAAAGGAGTTGATGGAGTCATTAGACGCGCTAGTGTGCGCGTGAACGACTGCGGCCTATCCAGGATTATGATGCGTCCCGTCTCCAAACTGGCGGTTTTGGATTTGAGTGAAGCGGTTCTTCACGGGTCGGGGATGTCGCGGGACGATAGTTTGTATCGATAGGTATTTTTAGTACATCTGGTATATTAAAATGGATGGATTTTGAGCCCTGGAATGAACGGGCATATTTTCGGCCACGATGAATTGCCGCCATATTTTAAGCTGCACTTTTGTATTGTCGCGTGGTTAGAGCAGGAGGAAATACTGCGGTAAGAATATTGTGGGACTTCTAAGAGGTTATGTGACCATCCTTTCTTATCTAGAATAAAACGGGCTTACGAGAAAACCTGCTTCTCTGGGAGTATATCGGCCGTTGAAGGCAACTCCGTGGGACCACCGACAACATAAATAAATTTTTCTAAAAACAGGAGCGCTAGAATGGCATTAGATTGTGGCTGTTGACATTCGCCAGGCTAAAAGGCATCCTATCTAGGGCCAATTTTTGACGCACGCGACATTCATTGAGGAATTGGATGAAGTTATTTGTTCAGGGCTGAGATCGCCAACTTTCAAGTAATATTAAACTGAATATCAAAATTGACGAATTTCATATCACAAAATATCATGGTATGGCAGCCCGCAGCAACTACGAATTGCACGAGTCTGGCAGCGCCACAAAACGACGTCACATTCGTTTTATATTGTTTTTGTTTGAACCTTAATATGTAAATAATGCAAGAACTTCTGAAGACTTGACAATCTTGTAGAAAATTTATGTATCTATCGGATTAAATTATTTGTTTAGGGCTGAGAGTCCCAGCTAGCTAGTAATATTAAACCGAATATCAAAATCGAGGAATATCAACTTTTAATGTTTTGAAAATAAACAATCGATACTATCGTAATAGTATCGGGCTAAAATAATTATTAAAAAACCATTGAAACCTTTTAGGAACTTGTCCATTGTAAATTTTAGATGCCAACTGTCGCAACGACTGTAGCTCGATACTGTCATGATAGTCGCAAAACCGTCGATAGTAGTGGCTTGCAGTAAAATATCGATACTATCGGTAGCCCCCTCGATGGTTTGACACCTCTATTTTATCGAGAAATTGTTTACTAAAGACATCTAAAGACATTTAATGGAAATTTACTAAAATAAAGTGAGTAATAAACGCATAGACTAGGCAGAAATTAATTCATGAAATGTGCGCAGTTGGGCCAAAGTTGGAGCGGTGTGCGTGTCGTGTGTTAGCAACCAGTTTAGTGGACTTGCGCTCCAGAGAGATAATTCCCATGTGTGCGCGTGTGTGTGCACTTGTGTGCGTAATAAAAACAATAACAATTTACACGCAATGCAAAACATCCAAAAAGTTTGATCATTTCGCATCCGCCATCCGCCATTGCAGCATTGCTTCCCAACACTTTTGCTTTGGGGATTACGTTGTCCGACCGCTGGCTAGCATCATCATTTCAGGGCTCGCAGCTTGATTTATTAATAATTATTGTCTATACATATCTATGTACATACTACTGGGCGCCCCGTCATTCACCTTGACTTGTGTGCTGTGCCAGGTGGAGCGTTGCGTCGCGTCGCGTCTGTCCAAAAGTCCATTCGCCGCTCAAATTGTGATTTTTGCTGCGCTTCATTTCACATGTGGCTCTTCAGAATAGTCAGTCATCCAGTCCAGCTCGATCGTAATATAACACGTCGACAAGACAATTTAGTGGCTATCGATGGGGATGGCTTATCAGCTGCCACAAAAGATCCAGCGATAAGCGAGCCACTGGCTTCCATTCGGACATTATGGCCGACAATATGTCTCAAAGAATCAGATATACTATGAGAGAATGTAGGCAAATATTTGACAAACGCTGCTGCTGCTCTTTATGACTAATTCTTAGGATATTGTGATCGTGCCAAAACTTGAGAGATTGCTCTTGTGGCTCTTTAGATAATATTTTGTTGGTTTAATTAAAGATTCCGTATAACAAAGCAATTTTTGTGCTCCCCCTTGGTGCAAGACCTTTAAACCTGATTAATCGTCAATTTTGATACACATACACAAAGGTACAGCGATATACATATGTATGTACATATGCACCGATTCCTGTTTAGTTGTATATTTTCTATTATTAATTGCTGCTCGCCAGTGATCAAAGTATTCGCTCGCTCGCTCTCGTGCGCCACTTACGCGGCGTTTTTGCTTGGCCTCTCTTTGCCAATTTTGCTTTGGATTCGGTTTAGTTATTGTTTTTGCCTTGTGCCGTGCAGTTTGTGCAACCTTTTCGGGGGTTTACTGTCTCTGGGTAAATGGATTGAAACATCTTTAAAACTAGCCTATTATTATAATAATATACATATGTATATATAGCTACAACTCTACGCTTCTTCGATTCCCTCTCGCTCCCTGTCTAGCACTTTCGATTGAACTTTGTTTCGACTGGGAAATGTCCCGCACACACACCCAATTGAATTGTTTTTTAGTCGTTTTCGTGGTTTCCAATCAGATTTAGCATACAGTTTAATTTGTATTTGATATATATAAATATATATACAACAATATCAGACGACTCCTATGGGGTATACGATCGATTACGTTCGTTTTTGCTATTTCGCTTACTCTAAAGCCTACTCCTATTTGGTCTCCAGCTGGGGCAGATGCATGGGCAGTGGATCCAGTGCTGCACCCGCTGATGCTGCTGCTTCGGCACGATCAAAGCAGAGAGCATGACGCGGTGAGGTCATCAGTTGACGCACCCCGAAGGCCACATCTTCGAAGCTGATGCGCTCGCTGGGCTCCAGCTGCCAGCAGTTGAGCAGCAGCTGGTAGAGATCCCCATAAACATAGGCGGGCTGTGCAGGACGCACAGCCGCTCGAATGGCGTCCAAGAGCTGCTGACTGCTGGCCACCATATTCGCATATGGGGTGCCGCCGAGGGCGCAGCACTCCCAGGCCACGCAGGCCAAGGCCCACACATCCGACTTGCTCGAATGGTGCTGATGATGGCGCAGGACTTCCGGGGCCAGCCAACGGCTCTGGTCCAGCTGCTCGCAGCTGTTGTGGATGTAGTGCAGCGGTCCGAAGACGCAGAGCTTCACCTTCGACTCGGCGTTGATGTAGACGCTGTGCGAGCACAGCTGGCGATGCACCACCCGGCAACTGGCGAGGTATGACATTGCATTGGCCAGCTCATAGATCCACTGTAGAACCAGCTGCTCAGAGAGGGAGCTGAGTCGCGGAGACGACGCCACCGTCTGGCGGCTCTCGAGGAGTCGTCTCTTCAGGCTCACGCGCTGCAGTTCGAAGACCAGATAGAACCAGTCGGGACTGGCCGAGATGCCATAGAAGTTTAGCAGATGCTGATGCCGCTCCAGTTGCGAGAGCTGCCGCAACTCCCTCAGCAGCTGGGCCTGCGCTATCCCATTCAGTTCATCCAATGACAAGATGTGCAGGGCGCAGTCCTTGGCCGAATCGTTTGATGAAAACTTTCCCGATATGATCTCTCCGAAGCGACCCTCGCCAATCACGTCGTTTACATTCAGGCGGAGAGCATTGCGCGGCAGACGATCGAATCCGTCGACCAGCTGCTGCAGCTGCTGTTTAAAGGTCTCCAGCGAGGGCGGCGTGGCCAGTTCCTCCTCCACCAGATAGCCATTGTTCTCGCGCTCAATGATCGGCGTCTGCAAGGTCATCTCGTGGCCATTGCGTCCTCCCAGCCTGCGACCGCTGCAAGTCTTGTAGCGCAGATAGAAGTACGCGATGAGGCTGAGCAGCAGACAGCTGCCGAAGATTACACAGGTGACGGCCAAGGCCACCACCGACGACTGACCCTTCTCGAAGGTGGCATAGCTGAAGTCGTCCAGTGAGGTGGTGTGCTGACCGTGAGTGCTTCGCGTGTACACAGTCTTGGTCACGCCCTCCAGTTCGCTCACCTAAAGATCACAAGAGGAAGCTAGAAACGAATCAGCTGGCAGCTCCATCGGGGAATACTCACCACTCCCAGGCTCACGTGCACATGGACGGCTGACTGCTCGAGCGGGGCATTGCGGTAGCGTCCATAGAGCTTGCCATCGCCCACCACAAACCGGCGATTGCGGTTGTCCTCCGGCCTGTCGTAGTCCAGCTCAGCCGCAATGTAGTAGGGTGTTCCATCCTGTTGTGACTGCTGCCAGCTTCCCAGCAGCTGCTCATCGAATGGCTGGCTGAGGGCATCGTCCACGTACTCCACAATGATGAGGAGCTTGCTCACCGGCCCATTGTCGTTACGGACGGGGGCCAGTTCCACTGTCAGGGTTTGATCTGCACGCGTCAGAATCTTGGGTTGTGGCGGGGCTGGACTTGGGGAGCCCACCTCCGTGCTGGCCGCCAGACTGTCCTGGCCACATTCCGTCTGTCCCGGCTGCTGTTGCTCCATGCAGATGGCCCGCACCGTCACGTTGTAGAGCGTGGCCGGATGGAGGTCCGTCAGCTCGAACTGCGACTCGGTGCTCTGCACCATGAACTCGGGCTGGGGGAAGGCAGGCAGTGATGAGTAGGTCTTGACCACTTTGGCGCGTATCAGAAAGCTGGCTATCTGCTGGTTGGGCATGACGGCCTGTGCTCCGGCCAGTAGCAGCTTACGCGGCTCATAGGCATCCCAGGCGACAGTCAGACTGTTCTCGGTGCGATTGGCAACTCGCAGATGGTGCGGCGCTGGCTGTCTCGTCAGCGTGGTGGAGTAGTACGAGTGGACACCGACGCCTCCGCAGTACTGGGCCTTGTTGGCCAGACACCGGGTGTTGCACAGCTGCTCATCCTGCTGATCCTGCGGCTCCAGGGCGTTGGCACAGAAGCATTTTTCCGCCGCCAGCACGGCATAGTGATGGTCCTGGCGCTCGCAAATCTCGATGCAGGTCTGCGGCGTCTTGGCGTACACCGATTCGTGCTGCAGATCCGTGCGTGCCGTGTAGCAGCCGACGTATAAGTACACAGGAGTCTGCTCGGACGCACAGGATGCCCCCGCCCATAGCCAGAGCATGGCCACGAGGCAGGCGACCAGCCGCTTGGCAATTGGAACAGGGCGGTGTCCGCATCCGCATCTGAGTTCGAGTACGGGTCTGAACTGCATGCTGTCTGAATTGCGAGTGACCCTCGTGGTGGTTTTCCAGCAGTCGAGGAGCACCCTTCCTTGATTAAAGCTAATTAAACACTTTTTTCGAACCCAATTTAGGTAAATTAAACGCTTATTCTCGTTTTCCTTTGGCCGCTCAACATTTTTTCAAGCGCTGCTCAGAACACATAGCCTCTTGCCTCTTCTTCTTCCCGCCGTTCTGTTGTTGGTGGTTTCTCAGCAACCATTTCGTTTCCAGTTGACTAATCGTTGGCTCTGCCGGCGTCGACGCTGGTACAACTGTTGCTGTTACTTTTCAATTTCGTTGTTTACATCGCTATAAAGCAGTCCGTCAGGTGTGTGCGACAGAGACAACTGGTTCGCTGTGGCTTTTGACTTTTGATCGTACGGTTTACGCTGGCATAGAGCTGTGCTTGTCGCACACCTGTTTGACAGCCCAGCCGCCTGAGCTCGACTTGAGCAGGTAAGGTGTTGCCGCATTTGGTCATGGCATTGCCAGGCGTGCTGAATATTTTTTGAAAATGCTGCTCCGCGCCAAAGTCTGGCCTTTAGCCATATACCATATACCATCATCCGCAATGTCCAATTTAATTATGTGGCAATGTGTTAATTGTATGGACAGTCGCGTTGCGACTTTGCGTGGTTGCAACCGACAGCTGCTGCTGCCCCAATTGTGCCCCAACATGTGCCATGCGGGCAGAGTTCTCACTCTCTTTTCCACCGCTTGCTCTCACTGATCGCACGGGGGTCGGTCTCTCTCAATTTCACTGCCCATTGAGTAAGCGCTCCCATGACTTGCGTGTTGTTTTTGTGATTTGGTTGACAGCGCTGGTCGTACCGCTGCCGCTGCTGCTGCTGTCTTTGTCGTTTGTCACCGATTCTAATTCAATTCAATTAAAGAAAACATATTGTTTTTTAAGGTGAGAATCGCGTGTGTCTGGCATAATTTCCAGATCCGCATGGTTGTAGTTGCTTCTGCTGCTGCTGCTGCTCCCGTAGTGGTACGTGCTCTGTGTCTGTTTTGTTCTTCATTCCCAATCGGATTCCAAACCAAAACCATTGGCCAACTGCGTATCGAAACAAAAGTTGTCGACGTCATCAACGGCGCAGCAAATGAAATTAATGTTAATGTGTGTTGTGTGAAGAATGCAAGTGTGCATTATTTAACCTCTCGCCAAACCAACGATCCACAGAATAGATATAGGAGTATAAAGTGTTTCTGCGATACAACTGAACTTTCCCTGACATCGGGGCACATCCTCCTCCATTTACATCTGCTTCTGACAGGGCACATACACATAGTTGGGTCTATTTTTGGCTGCCTCTCATAATTGCAGGCCGCTGCTCCGTGTCTCGTGGCGGTGCCAAAAATTGTACATACCTCGCCAGAGGGGGCACGGCAGCAGCTTGCGCAATTATGGGTTACAGTTTTTTCGAAATCTATGCTTATTAGTGATTCTCGTCTCTGTCATTACAGTTGAACGCCCCAAAAATCCAAACATTTTTGAAGCACTAAAAGGAATTATATTCTTTTACAAACACACACACACAATCCGCGGAAAGATACGAGGATATTGCAATGGGCGGCTCGGCAGTGCAGGTTATCAATGCATCCGAGGAGCACACATTTGTGCTCAACGAGGATGCACTCAGCGAGGTGCTGATGCGGGAGGAGGTCAAGGATCGCTTCGTGTGCGTGGTGTCCGTTGCAGGCGCCTTCCGCAAGGGCAAGAGCTTTCTGCTGGACTTCTTTCTGCGATACATGTACTCAAAGGTAAGTCGGCTGGTAGTCCATTCCATTATGAATGCTTATCTGTAACACTTTTCTTGTAGTATGTACGCCACGATGTGACAGACTGGCTGGGCGATGAGGCGGCGCCTCTGTCGGGCTTCTCATGGCGCGGAGGCTCCGAGCGCGACACCACTGGCATCCTGATGTGGTCCGACATATTCCTGCACGACTATCCCAATGGCGATAAGATCGCCATTATTCTGCTGGACACGCAGGGAGCCTTCGACAGCCAGAGCACAGTGCGGGACTGCGCCACGGTGTTTGCGCTGAGCACGATGCTGTCCTCGGTGCAAATATACAATCTCTCACAGAACATACAGGAGGACGACCTGCAGCACCTGCAGCTGTTCACCGAGTACGGCCGCCTGGCGCTGGCCGACACCGGCAAGAAGCCATTCCAGCGCCTGCAGTTTCTGGTCCGCGACTGGAGCTTCCCCTACGAGGCGGAGTACGGTGCAATGGGAGGAGATAAGATACTCAAGCGCCGGCTGGAGGTGTCCGATAAGCAGCATCCGGAGCTACAGTCGCTGCGGCGCCACATCTCGTCGTGCTTCACCGAGGTGGCCTGTTTCCTGATGCCACATCCGGGCCTGAATGTGGCCACCAATCCCAAGTTCGACGGCCGGCTCACTGACATCACGCCCGACTTCAAGAACAGTCTGCGCACCCTGGTACCCATGCTGCTGGCGCCAGACAATCTGGTCTACAAGGAGATCAGCGGTCAGCGGGTGCGTGCCCGCGATCTCATCCAGTACTTCCAGTCGTACATGAACATCTACAAAGGCAACGAGCTGCCGGAGCCCAAGAGCATGCTGGTTGCCACGGCCGAGGCCAATCATCTGACTGCAGTGGCCGCCGCCAAGGAGCTGTACCAGCAGCTCATGGAGGAGGTATGCGGCGGCACGCGTCCGTACTTAAGCACTGCCCACCTGGAGACGGAGCATATTCGGGTCAAGGACAAGGCCCTGTTCCAGTTTGCCTCCAAACGCAAAATGGGCGGCGAGGAGTTTACCGAGAAGTTCCGGCTGCAGCTGGAGGAGGATCTAGAGGAGGTTTTTGTCAACTACAAAGCGCACAACGAGAGCAAGAACATCTTCAAGGCGGCCCGCACACCGGCCGTGTACTTTGCCTGTGCCGTCATCATGTACATCCTCAGTGGCATCTTTGGCCTGGTCGGTCTCTACACATTTGCCAATTTCTGCAATCTGGTGATGGGCGTGGCCCTGCTGACTCTTGCCCTCTGGGCGTACATCAGGTAAAAGCATATCCCAAAACACCTTAAAGAGACTTCCCAATCAACTGAGTGACTCCTCTATCCTTTACAGATACAGCGGAGAGCTGAGCGATTTCGGGGGAAAACTAGATGAGTTTGCCACGCTCATGTGGGAGAAGGTAAGTAATTGATTTATTATTCATTTAAATGGGATTCAAATCCATACATTTTTTCCTCTTGCAGTTCATGCGACCCATCTATCATGGATGCATGGAGAAGGGCATCCATCATGTGGCCACGCATGCCACCGAAATGGCTGTGGGAGGAGGCGGTGCTGCCGGCTATCGCTCCCAATCATCGGTGAATGCCTCAAATGGCAAGGTGAAGCGTTCATGAGAATACGCCCAAGCATCGCAGCACAAAGCGCAGCATCAGGCGACCAGCAGTAACAACAGCAACAGCAACAACAACTATAATAATAATAACAACAACAATGTGGCATACAAATTAAGAAAAAATAGCAACAAAGGTGGAGCTGATTTCATCGAGAGCATTTGGCGCAGATTTGGCGGCAGCGGCACCAGCAGCTCCACGAACTCAAACACCCCGTCTCCACCAACGGCCATGGCCCCGCCGCCAACGGTCGCCTCTAGCAGCAACAACAACAGTCGCAAGAAACGCAAGCCGAAGCGCAACTAAATGAGTCTGTCGATTGGTATTGGTGCGGCAACCCCTTACCGGAATCCATCCTCTTTGAAAGGAGGGAATCCGAATCCGAATCCACTCCCTGAGTTGTATAAACCGATACTTTATATAGGATGAAAGAAAGGAACCTGTTTTTATATTGCATTAATTGAAGTGTAGTTGGTCTATATATTACTTATAGTTAAGAATACATAAGTGCATCATTAGTAAGTGGCTCGTATCTGTTGAGAGAAGTGAAATTTTAAATTGTTTTTTTATATATACTCGTACCATACACGATATGCGTCTGTACACGAACGGATATATGAAATCTAACGCTGTAATATACAAAAATCGCTAACGAATTTAATTCTGTTTAATATTTTTCTAATCTTGATCTTGCCTCCTCACCTCACCGCACCGAACCACCTGATCCACCTCTTCACCATCCTTTTGTCATTCGTTTGATAGAGAATTCCATAAGCAATCTAATATTGTATTGTATGTATAAAACAAAAGTGCACTTTGTTGTTGGCTGGTTTGCTAAGCGCCTCATTTTGCCACCCGTTTTGTTATTAATCTTAGTCTCTCCTCTTTAATAAAGAAGAAAACAAATAATTAATTAAACCATTGCCACCCATTGAAAATTAAACACAAAGGCAATGCAATGCTGGTTTAGGTCTCTAGTTTATGTTGTGCAGTAAAATTAAAATAATTAACTCTTGGTTTTGTTTCGATTAAACAATAAACGTGTATGTACTATATGATAACTGATTAGCTCAGTAGCAGTTATGGCCATCGACAAAATAAACGAAAACAAAATGCATTTTCCACTTTCTATGACAGACTGGCTGCAGCATTCTCCCGATGGATTGCTACACTCCCGGCACTTCTTGGCCCTGCCACGACGTTGAACGTTGCAATGCTGGGAACTCAGTTACTTTTCGTGTATATGTATATAGTGAAACAGTCGCAATGCTGGTATAGGGCTTTTGTTTAATTACATATTACATTTGTAAAGTTTGTGTGTAGTATATGAGGCAAGAAGGAAACGCAAATGCAATTGCTCTTTGAATCTGTTTGGGTGTAACTAACTGGTTGCCTCCTACTTCTTGTCCCCATTGCCACAGCACTTGCCCTGTGCCGCTGAGTCATCCTTCTTCTTGCAGCATCCACCTGAAGCGGGGGCATTGGCTGGATTGCAGCCACATTTTCCAGGCTTCTGGCACTTGCAGCTATCGCAGCACTTCTCGGGAGTGCATTTGCAGTCTGGAAAATGCCATGGGGTTAGATATACATATCTAGGATCCAGGAAATACGAATTCGACCACTCACCTTTTTCACAACCAACGCAAGGCATTTTTCTTTCTTTTGTAAGTAACAGTATGAAGAATTAAAAGAATTTTCCTTTTTCCAATAGAAAATTAAAATAAATTCTGTTAAATTTAGCAAATATTTTGTTCCTTCACCAAAGAATGCCTAAAAGTGACTGACTTCTGTACGTACACGTAAGTGTCTCCGGTTGCTGGGGCGACACTTCCCAGGAATTTGATAGCGCATGCGTTCGATCAGAATGGGAATAGAGAACAGAACACGACGACGACTCTCCCTTGTCCGGAGGTAGCAACAGGTTTACGTAGGAAGGGAACAAGAGCCACACCACCCCAAAGAAATAAGTGCAGAGGCATTCAATTCAATTACATATCAGTTAACTTATATTCTCTCATTGTTTTGTTTTGTTTTGTGATTTTAGTTTCCGTTTTGTTTTTTGTTTTTTCAACACATTACATTGTAGATTTCGATCGTATGCTGGTGTTTACTTGGCTTATGTCTAACAATATGCGCGCGCCTACCCCGGGGTTCGTCGGAGTTGGCATTTACTTTAAGTTTTATTTATTTATAATGGTATCATTTCTTGTGTCCTGTTGTGTTTCACCTTGGGACAGCAATTGCTTACGAACTAAGTTATGAATATTTTATAACTTGAACTAAAAACTGTTCGATTTTGTTTTTGCATTATGCATAATTTACATTGGAAATCGTTGGCTTGACAATACACATCCAATATTTTAAAATGTTTCGTTAAGTTATACATATCGTAATAATATCTGTTCATTTCTAACGTATCGTTTGTCGTGTTTACCGTGCAGGGGGACATGGGTATGAGGATGAAATCATGAGGATCATTAGGAGCTGTAGGAGCAGTAGGATGAGGGGAAGCAAATGTTCTTAGCATCGTTTCATAAATGATACTTAATGGATCCTAATACAACACATATAATAGATATTAGCGTCTCGTAAGCCGTTTCATTGATATATATTCATCTTCCTCTATTGCTGTTAAAATTTTCTTTTTGAGTTTGAGTCGGATGTTTTTGTTTTTCTTTTTGGCTTAACAATCATTCTCAATCTTTGCACTTGGCTAAATTTTGAAAGGGAATTCTGCTTGGGCTTCTTGCTTCTTGGTTGCGTGCTTGGGGGAAGTCTTAAAAGTTAGTTACATTTAACGCTATATATTGAATATATGTATGTATATATGTATGTATGCATGTGCTTGTGGGTCTTGAATGTGTGTGAGTTAGATGCTTCTAAGCTAATCTTACAGGCTAGTATCCATAGCTTTCGTAAATCTGAATTGTTTGTCCGTATTTTCCGTCTGTCTCTTCGTTTGTGTATGTGTGTGGAGTAGATTGGAGTTCACAAGTCAACATCAACCACTAGCACCAACCTTGGGTTGCTTACATTTATCTGTATCCGTATCCGTATCTGTATCTGTATTCGTATTCGTATCCGTATCTAACATTGACCTTTGGCCACGAAATTCTTACAAGTTAAGGACCAGCCCCACCAGCCCCAATCCCATCATCCCCGTTTGCCCATCATCAGTCCAGGGGCTTGCCGAAAAATAAAATGCTGATCAAATCGTTGAACGACAACTACATTTGTGTTGGACTCGCCGCCTGGGATGTGGAGGCAACAGCGGGAGTGGTGGGCGTGGCCAGTGCAGCCTCCATAAAGCTTGGCAGGGAATCGGCGGCCATAGGCTGACTGCCATTGGGCTTACCGGCCATTGGGGAATGCGGTCGCTTTTCAGCCTCTGTTCGTGCACAGAATGATGTCTCCGTTTCCATGGACGCTTCTGGCACAGACGGCTCTGGCGGGGTGTGTGCCCCCTTGGGTCTGGCCTTGGCCGCCGCCGCTGCCGATGTGGAGGCCTCTGAGGCTGCTGCTGCCTCTTCGATTTGCTTCGAGTCGCGCTTCAAGATGGAGAAAATGTTTTGGATGTACGACTCCATGGTGATGAGCGTGATCAGATGCTTCTCGCGCTCCTCGTTCAATCGATCCTGTGCGGTTTTCTTGTTGCTGGACTTCTTGTTGCGTTTGGGCGTGGGCTCCAGCTCATCCTCAAGCTCGGTTTCATCGTCGGACGATGGGGTCGATCCGGCTTTCTCCATCTTCTCCGGCGAAGTGCTCTCCATTTGTTCATCCTCGCTGCCCGCAGGTGTCGGTGGTTTGGCAGTTGTGTCCATAACTGGGTCGCTGGTGATGCTGTTGGTCTTGGTGGCAACAACCTCCATGGAGACATCTGTGGCTTTGCTGGGATCTGTGGCCGAGGAGTTATCCGTGTCAGACTGCGCCGCCTGCTCTTTATCCTTCTCCTTGTACGAGTCTCGCTTCTGCTTCTTGTTGGGAAAGTCGTCTACACATACAGATTAAATATAGTTATAACTGAATGAAAGAAGGTGGAAATAAATAAAGGAGTTGTACCCCGTTCTGCCTCTATCCTGAAGCGTTCGGTCTTGTTCTGGAGCGCCCTGAGGGAGCCACGCAACTCCTTTCGCACGGTGGTCGGCACGCCCGTGGCCTGGGCAATGATCCGTATGGCAAATAGATCGCCGCACAGCTCATCGATGTCATCCTTCGAGTGCATGCCATAGTTGATCGTGTAGATCATGCGCGCCACTGGCAGCTGGGCTGCCACCCGATGGTAGTAGAGCTCCAGGAACTCGCGCACACACGCATCCTTCAGCATGCTGCGCTCGTCCCGGAGCACATTGTGCAGATATTCCACCAGCAGTTGATTCTTGACCAGCAGCTCCGTGTACCTGTCAAATCGGAGGAATAATTAGAAGGGAGTAAGTCGCTTGGCACGTGATCAACTCACTTGTGTGTCAGGGCATTGTTGTGTATGCCCACCCAGAATTTGGGAAAGTAGTTGAAATGCAGCGGCGTCGATTCGATGGCCACCAGGCAGTGCAGCTTGACCAGGGTGTCGTTGAGGGAGCCCGTGTTGACACACATCCGCATCATCACGTCGATGAAGTCGTGGTAGGGCCTGTAGAAGCCCTCCACATGGGCATCGTACTCCGCATCCAGACCACGCTGCGTCAACTCCGACAGAGCAATGCACATCTGAACCATGGGCCGGGGCGGACGTGGCGAGTTCTTGGCACCCAGCGGCCAGGGCGTGTGCTTGGCCCCGCGACGTGGAAAGAACGGACCCAGGGGTCCAATGGCATTCGGCGCATTGGCAACGGACAAATGGCAGTTGATCAGAATGGGTGCCAGTATATTGGTGGCCTCCAGACTGGTGTTCCGCACCAGCTCCTTGAGCACCTCCAGAGCCGCGCGGCTGATCTCCGGCGAATTGAAGGTGTTCAGCAGCGTGGCCAGCCGCTTAACCGCATCCGGCAGTGCCTTGGCCAGGGCCGAGTGCTGGTGCTGCTGGCGCAGGAAATGCTGCTGCTGGAACTGCATCTGCTGCAGCTGCTGGAGTTGCAGATGCTGCTGCATCTGTTGCTGCAGCTGCTTCTCCTTCTGCTGCGGTGTCTGCGGTGCTTGGGTGCTCTGTGTCTGCTGCTGCTGCTTCTGCAGCAGTTGCTGCTGCTGCAGTTGAAGCTGCTGCTCCAGTTGTTGCTGCTGCTGCTGTTGCTTCTTCTGGGCGGGACTGTCCGTCCGTGTGCGCAGGGTGCCCAGCAGCTGGAGCATCTCACCGAGCAGATCGAACAGATCCCCGGCCACATGGCAGGCCGTGGCCTCGTGGTGCATGGAATGTAGCGTGTGCAAAGCCTCAAAGCACATCTCAATGCCGCCATTGAAGATCACCAGCATGCGATCGTCCTCGTTGTCCACTGGGAAAGAGCACAGCGAAGCAAATTAAATAAGTTTCAGATGTTTCGGGGGGGATAATCTTACCCAATGTCTTTAAAGCACTGATCAGCGTGGACCAGGAGACGCGTGCATCCAGGCTGCTCATGTAGGACATGATGATGGTCCGCCTGAACTGTATGACATCCAGCTTCTCCTGCTCGCCGGCATCTGGATGCCGTGTGGCAAACAGAGTCATCAGCTTGAACAGCTCATCCACGGCGGCCGCATACTGGGTGGGATGTGGCGTGATGTTCTTGAAGGCCCACTGCAGATTCTGGTGCTGGGCCAGCTGGCGGGTGAGGGCACGACTCTGCTCGCAGCACAGCCGCAGCAGGCCGTAGTAGGCGGGCAGCATGGACCGGTTATAGGTGACGATTTCGGCGTCATCATGATCGGCCCTTGAAGTAGAAAGGATACAGAGAGTTAGAGCTGCCAGTGGGAATGTGCGGGGGTAATCTTATTCTTATTCTTACAATATATAATTAAATGCTATGTTGCGCGTTATCTCCGGGCAGCTGGCCACTTGGGCAGCATTCTCGGGACAGTCCACCAGCGAGTGGTGCCAGAAGGTGAGCAGCGCGTGCTTGTTGTGATGGGCGGGCACACTCGGCTCCGAGAGACGCGGATGAAACAGCTCCCACAGGGAGCGCATGAACGAACCTATCTGCAGGTCAAAGAGAGAGAGAAAAATACCCTTTAGCCTTTGGGAGGGAGAACCGGGAGATGTGCTGCTGCCCAAACTTGCCATTAGTTTTTCAGTCTTTGAAACCATACAGTAGCTGAGGAGATTAAAGTAGGCGGTCAGCTTGGTGGTGCCATGGGAGGCGATTTCCGCATAGACGCGTGCCGGCCGCAACAGACGCAACAGCAATGTAATCACCTGATGCAGCACCACCTGGGCCTCGCTGTTGATGTCGCTGGAAATGTACACACAAAATGTTGCTTAATTCATGTTTCGATTGCCTTCGGAGTGCGGCACCTACCGATAGCTGTGCGGATTGAGGGCCAGCAGTTTGTGCTGCGAGTGTGCCCGAAAGTTGGCGCGGAAGGGCTGCGAGGGTACCAGAGCCACCAGCAGGAAAGCGGCAGCTAAAAAACAATTCAAAGAACAGGTTAGCAGGGCACCTCCAGCAAGCAAGTGGATAAAGCACTGCATGGCATACCATTCCTCACGCGTGTGTTGTCGTGGGCCAGTAGGAACTGCTCCAGCCACTGCTCTGCGGACTGGAGTATCCAGGCGTGGGCTATCTTATTTTTGGTGGCCTGAAGGGACAGCCAGTCGAGCACGGACTGCGGGCAGTATTCGGCTGCGTCCCACATGCGTGGCAGAATGAGTTGCGTGAAGCAGGGCAGACCCACAGGACCGCCCTGGGTCTCTGTGAGCAGCGTGAGCAGCTTGAAGAAGGGGGCACAGAGATCCGTGTGCTTGGTGACCGAGGCGAAGAGCATGCTGACGATCTGGGTGGCCAGGCGATCGTCCCAGCGGCAGAGAGCATGGATTAAATGCTTGGTCTGGTGCGGATTGATGCCATCCTTTATTTGTTGGTACAAAAATGGAAAACCCTACGAAAAATATATGCGCAAAAGTACATTAAAAATCGGGCATCACAATGGGCTGAATGAATCGATTGAAAGGCGGATAGATTTCGGATTTAGATTGTTTTGTGCGGTTGGGATTTGTTTTTTTTTTCTTCGGGAAAATGGATTTTGATTAGATGGATCTTTGTAGCTGTTTGAGGATCACCTTGCCGCCGGCTATGGCGTTGAAGTCTTTAGGGGAGAGCCTTAGACGGAAATCGGCGCCCCGCGATCTCTCCACGAGACTCGCACAGAGCGCTATCATCTTGTCCAGCGAGGCGGGTCGCATCTTCTCCACCGACAGGGCCTCATCGGAGGAGTTGTCCTCGTTGTCCGAGCTTATTTCGATCTGAAATGTGTAAAATAACGATTTTGATTTGTTGTTCAAACATTCGGCATTTTGTGGGCCAACTAACGCTGTCCGTCGCCTGCTTGTTGCCGAGATAGAAGTCCACCAGACTCTTGAGCACTCCGATGCGCAAAAGGAACATGGCCTCCTCGTCGCCCATGCGCGAGAATTCGCACAGCAGGCTAAAGTACTCGGACAGATGTCGGAGATGCGAGCGAGCCCCATGCTCCAGCAGCGATATGAGGGAGCCAATGAAGCGCGTCACGCACGAGGCCTGGCCAATCAGCTCTTTGCCGTCGTCATCTGTCTCCACATCCAGAAACAGATCTGCATGGGAGGCCCTGAAGAAACACACAAAAATTATCGAACTGCATAGGAGGATTGGACTTGGGATGGGACTTACCTCAGCTGCTGGATAACATGGATGACTAGCCGTTGGAACATTTGTCGCACCATTTGATTGGGGCACTGGATGAGCACCTGGACGGGCCAGAAGGGCTCCAGGGCCATCTGGGATAGGAACCACTCGCAAGCCTCATGGCTTGCAATGAACTCCTTGGTCAGCAGTTCCACCCAGGGCACCATAGTTGGCTTCTCCAGGGGAAGAGACCACAAAAGACATTGTACTAATGACTGACTAGATCCAAAATAAATTGTTTTTAGTACCTTCTCCTTGGCATGAATGAAGGTCTCGATAAAAAACGACACCGACAGCTGTGCAGCCATGCAGGTGAAGTCCGTTTCGGAGATCAATGTCTGTGGTATGTTGCTGCACAGCTGCCACATGAAGCTGCAACAAAATCAGAATTTAGCATCGGTTTATTCCCAGTATCTTTTGCTGCGCCACTCACTTGAAATATGTGTGATCGAAGATGTTTCGTTCCTGCAGGAATTGCCGATTGTCCTGCCATATCCAATCCTCGAGCTCTTTGTTCAGCAAGGGACGAAGTAGCTGCAGCTTGAAGGACGAAGATGCCTTAGAGGTGGAAGGTTGCTGTTGCTGCTGCTGTTCGCTAATGCTGCTGCTGCTGCTGTTGCTGTTGCTTGGCTTAGAATTATCACAATTGGCTGTTAGATGCCTCCCCTCCCCATCCCCATCCCCATCCCCATCCTGCTGTTGCTGCTCCTTCTCCTGCTCCTCCGTTCTGTCAGTCTGCACCTTCTCCTCAATTTTATCTACTGGCTCCACCTTTCTCCTGTCGCTCTCAATCTCCTTTTCCTCTTTTTCCACCTTCGGTGTCTCCTCCACTTCCACCTCCTCATCCTCCTGGGCACTGGTCATGCCCACCTCTGGCTTCTCCTCGACAGCGGGACTGGGCGTGGGCGTGACCAACAGCTCGGAATGCCGACGCTGCAGATGCTCCGGCAGCCGTCGCTCGTAGAACAACATGTAGGCGGAGTTGGTCTTCTCAAAGCTAAAGTCCAGATACTTTTCTGTCACCGAATCGTAGGTTTTGCTCTGCAAAAAAATCGAAAAAAAACGCACATAAAATCTGCACAGAAAGAGGCTCCGGGTCCGGGTCCGGCTCCGGCTCCGAGGGATCAGGGACTACACTACTCACCGTCATTTCGCCGCCAAAGCATTCGGCTGCAATTTGCGAGGGATCAAAGGGCTTGACCTCTGCATCGTTGAAGAGGAACCACCGCTCGAGCGGATGAAAGTTGTTCTTCGTTCGCTCCTTGATGAAGCTGTAATAGTGGCCGCCATCCGCGGTGCCCGTATGGACAGTAACGCCCACCAATTCGTACCTAGAAGGGAATAAGAGATCCCTATAGGACTTTCCAAAAGAATAAAAAAAGAATTCAGTGCTTACTCATAGCACTCCTCAATGTCCGCATCCAGCGTTGCCTCAGCCTTTTCGTTCTCATCCCCACCAGCGCCCGATCCCGCCTCATTCTCCCGCTCCCGCTCTCGCTGCCGCTTCTCGCGCTCCTCCTTGTACTGCTGCGGCATGAGGGTCTTCTCCACATAGTGGCGCATATTCAGGCGCAGCGGGAACGAGAAGTGGGTGTTCACCTTCTCCTTGAGCATCGTCACCATGTTGAACGTGTACCGCATCGTGTTGAAGCACAGGATCTGTGGCAGCTTCTTGAAGCAGGCCCGCTTCTCGGCCCGCACTTTCTTGCCGCACTGCGAGCAGGTGTACATGTTGTCGCCCTCGAGCGTGTCCTTGACGGTGACCTCGTCCAGGGACTCTTGCAGATTGCGCATATCCGCCACTTGGCAGCGCACCGTGTAGAACTCCTCGGCTGTGCGGGAGACATGGCCGCAGTCCAGGGAGACCACATTGTTGCTGAGCGTGCCGCAGAAGAGCCGCTTCACTAGATGCTTCAGATCGGGCGTCATCTCCTCCAGCTTGGACACCAGATCGATGAAGAACTCGGCCATGTCCTTTTGCTCCCCAGTGTTCAGCGGCTGGTGGTCCATCTGGTACACCTTGCAGAAGTTTCTCGGATTGTAGGCCTTCCGCTCCGACTCCAGCAGGTACGCGAACATCCGCTGCAGCTCGAGGAGTGTGGGCGCATGCTTCTGGGCTCCTGCGGGCGGCACTCGCAGCACTGCTGCCCTGGCCTGGGGCATCATGTACAAGTGCTGGATGCAGGAGGCCATGTAGCAGGTGGCTCCCAGATTGGTCAAACCCACATAGCCGCAGTCGGCCCTGCCCTCGTCGCGGGGCCAGTAATCCCACGGATACGGGGGCTTTGGCCCCGACTTGTGCTGGGCCATCAGTCGGCCATGCAGATAGGTAAAGTTGGTGGCACAGCCGCGGGTCAGCTCCGTCAGCAGATCGAAGGCGGCCGCACGCGACGTCGGCGACTTGCATTTGGGCTTGTGGCGATCCGACGGCGAGGGCATGTCGAAGAGGAAGCCCAGCAGCTGGTCCATGAAGACCAGAATCTTGGGCTTGTACTTGAAGCGGGTGTCGTGCTTGATCAGATTCGACATGAGGTTGAGCAGACCCACCATGGCGTCGTCCTGGAAGCCCTGCCTCAGCTCGTAATATTCGCGGGTAAGGATGCTCTGCGAAATGCTCTCGCACAGCATCTCAATGTCGATGTGCTCCTCGGCGCCAATCTCCGACGACAGAGTGTCCACGAGGCGCGCCAGTAGCCAGAAGTAGTCCCTGCAAGCGGGCCCGTACGGCTCCTTGCCCTCCTCCGAGAGCAGGAACTGCGTGTGCTGCGTGGAGGCGCTCATCTGCTCGGCCATCGGCAGCAGGGTGATCAGCTTGTGCAGCAGCGGGGCCAACAGCAGGCGGTAGCTCTGCGCATGACCCAAGCAGATGCGATACAGCCCCGCACAGATCTCGCGACGCACCGACGGTTCGGGATCCTCCAGTATGAACTTTTGCAGCCACATGCCGGGATCGCCCTGCGACCACAGAACGCGTCGTGCCTCTCCCGAGGCGTGGATGAAGCTCACGAGAATGTTCATGGTGAACTGGACGAGCTGTGCCCGGCCCCAGAAGCCCGTGCGCAGCTGGTGGAACTGGTAGGGGAACACCAGGGAGTTGGGGGAGACATTCTGGTACACCTCATCGTTGAGGATGCTCGAGAGGCGGCGCAGACACTGCGGCACCTCCATCAGCTGCAGCATGAACGGATGCGGGCGCGACAGCAGCACATGGATGTCCGGGGAATGCAGCTCCTCGAAGCCCAGCAGCCAGAGGATGCGCAGTAGGCTGGCCAGGCAGTCGTGGCGCCACTCGTTCAATGCCACCTCCTTCGGATAGGAGCTCTGCTGCAGCTGGCCGGCAATGAAGATCTCGTAGAGATGCCGCAGTCCACCGCACTTGACGAACGCCTCGCTCCACTTGTTGTCGCCCAGCACCAGGGGAGCGGGCGCTGTCGGAATGGCCTGAGCCTGTGCCTGAGCCATGGCCGTCAAGGGGGGTGGTGGGGGTATGGGCGACGGTGGAGTGGCACAGCCGACGGGTCGTTCCAGGCTTTCGCTTTTCTTTTGCCGCTTGCAGTGCTGCTGCTTGGTGGAGGTGCTGCTGCTGCTGGGCTGGTTCTCTTTGTCCCCGCCACTGCTGCCACTGGCCTCAGTGTCCGATTGCTGGCCACCACCCACTGGCGTGGGCGTCAGGGAATGGGAATCTTCCAGCAGCTCACAGATCTGCTGCTGCTGCTGCTGTTGCTTGGAGCTGAGCTCAGGCGGCGGCAGTGGCGGCTCATTGCTGTTCCTTCGCCTGCCCATCGATGATGATGACTTTTTGCCGCGCAACAGCTCGAGATTGCCGTTCGCCTCGCGCCGCACACTGCTCAGGGCCAGGCTCTCCACGATGTGCAGTGAGTACATGAACTTTTGCAGATTGTTGGGGTCCAGCAGGTCGCGAAACTTCTGCTTGATCTGTTTGCGTTTGTTTGCCAGCTGCTCCTCCTTATCCTTGTCCTCCAAGGCGGCCGCATCGAGCTGCTCCAGCTCGCTTAGGTCCGTCACCAGGCTCTTGAAGGCATCGAGAATCTGTGGGTTGGTGGGCAGCATGGCCAGTATATCCCAGACGCGGCGGGAGAGCAACTGCGCCTTGGTGTGGTGCTGCAGATTCACCGCCGAGGCCTGGGGTTTCATGTCGCCTAGGGTTTGCATCAGGCAGAAGAGCTTCTCAAAGTACTTTGGCTGCAGCAGCAGGACGGTGGGCAGGCATTCCTTGGGCGGCGGCGGCAGCATCGACGGATGCTCTAGGTTGCTCTCCTTTCGGCGGGCGCCTCGCCCGCCCAGGGACACGTAGACAATCTGATTATCCTTGAAGCCGGCATCGCCCAGGCTCCGCTCATCGTAGTCCGACGTGAGCTCCTGGCCCTGGGTAATGATCCTCAGTGGCCCATCGCTGAGCAGCAGGCCGAGCACTGGGGCTGCCATGCCCGTCTGCAGGCTCTCCCACCACTTGGAGACCTCGGCCTTGAGGTCCGCAATCAGATCGCAGGCATGCATCTGCAGCGAGCTCTTCTCCGAGAGCCCCGCCTGCTGCAGCAGTATCCGCAGTGGCGCCCCGGCACCTTCGTTCTTCAGGTTGCTGTGCGAGGCAATGCCCTTGCCCTCGATGGCCCAACGTCGCAGATGGAAGGCATAGCGCCGCCGGAACGTGTCCAGGTGGGTGTTCAACAGCAGCAGTCCACGCTGCACCCTCATCAGAGCGTTCTCATCCTCAATGCTGGAAGATAAACGAATTATAAGTGTTTACAGATCGGAGATGAACTCACCTTTCGAGCGCTGTGGCCGCCTGCACCAGATTCTCCATGCACTGGGAGACAAACTCCTTCTCGAGGCGTAGCTGCTGGCCCATGTAGTACATGTTGATGTACTGGATGGCCGCCAACGAGACCTCGTTGCTTTGCGCCCGCAGTGCAATCTTCCACAGGTGATACATGCCGACGGCACTGGCCGTGGACGGGTTCTGATCGTTGTGCTTGTCGTACTCGGCCATGGCGATGCGCGCGTAGCTGCACAGCTGCTGGAACAGACCCAAAGCCACCATGGAGAACTCCTCGGGCCGCAGCTCTGGCAGCTTCTTCAAGTACAAGTGCTGCAGTTCCTCGATGCCGAGCGCATGCTGATCTCCGCCTTTCGTTTGGGCCTGCAGCCACGAAAAGTAACAATCGGCGCACTCGGGATCGTGTGCCAGCCACTCCCACAGGGCATCCAGCTGCTCCACAGTCAGGCGAAAGTTCTTGGGGGAGCCCACCGTCGAGAAGATCGAGGAGAGGAACTGCAGCCTCACCGACACCTGGGTTTTGTGCGAGTACAGCTGTCCACCGAGCTGCTGCTGCTGCTGCTCCCCATTCTGGTTGACCAGCAGCTCGGCATGCCGTCGCGCATAGTAGCGGATGTTCTGGAAGAAGCACTGCATCATCCGGTGATTGCGCTCCGCCCACATCGTCATCGAGTGCGTGTCCGAGGGGCGGAACTGCTGGAACGAGGCAAACAGCTTCGGCAGCAGGCGCAGGCTCACGATCACGCTCCGGTTGTTGGCCACATTGAAGAGGCAACCCTCGATGAACTTTGTACGCAGCTGGCGGTCCATGCTGAAGCAGAGAAGCGTGGCCAGCGCCTTCTCCGCCTCCAGGGCCAGAGATTCACCAAGTTGACCCTAGACAAAGAGAGAATCATTCGAATGGGAATGGTGGCGGGAGCAGGAATGCCGTTGCACTTACAATCTTTTCATCCTGCAGCAGATCCCACAGCAGCGTATTGCCCGGCAGGCAGACATCGTTCAGCTTGAACGAGGGCTGTACGGAGCAGGGTGTGATGCTTCCCCCTTTGGGGGAATTGTGTTGCTGCTGCTGCTTGACCTCCAGCAGATCCCCATCCGAGTCCGATTTGGATTTGGCGGCCGCAGCATTGGCATTCGCCTGCCGCATGGTGGCCACCAGCGATTGCTGGGCATTTTCGGTGGCAACGGCCGCAGCGGCTACGGCTGCCACAGCGGCGGCCACATTTGTCTCTCCCGACTTTTGCATGGCCATAGCCGACTGGGCCACCATCATCGCGGCGGCGGCAGCCGCAAAGGCTGGCGGCACATCCCGGCATTGCCCACCAGCCACTGCCACACGTCCGGCATGGGAGTTGACTAGCTGGGCCAGCTCCTCCTCGCAGGGAGACACATCCTCGTCGTCAAAGTCCGCCAGATTCTTCTCCGACTTGTTACTCATCGGCGAGGAGTAGCTGCCATCGTGCTCGCCCCCGCTCAGAAGTTCGCTGATGTTCGTCTCGGCAATGGCCCGGATGTAGGGGCCCTCGCCCTGGAGATGCTTCAGCACGTCCGAGGTCACCAGCTGGCTGGCCGTTCCATCGCTGCAGTCGTCGCTATCGGCCAGCAGTTCGCCGTCTCCGTCGGCGTCCCCATCATCGCTGCTGGGCACATCCTCGGGTCCGTCCCAGATCTCCACCAGATCGTGGGGCAGCATCAGCTGCTTGTTGGCCGCCTTCTGGCGTCGCCGCTTATTGCTCGTTTTTTTCCGGTTGCGATGCAGCTGCAGCTCCAAAGCGGCTCGCGATTGAAGCTCCTCTTCACTGCTGGTGTTGTCGATGATGTTCACAATGCGATTGTTTCGGCTGCAAATACACACAAAGTAAGGAGTACGATAAGGATCAAATGAATCACAAAAATCATAAATATCTATAGAACTATTATTATTATTATTATGTATTCCAGTGGTTCTTCGAAACGTTGTTAGATATTTAATATGCAAGTAAGGATTGAAGCTTCAGATATTATATCAGATATTATTGAAAACTTTGGATTACTAGTTTAAAGCACATAAAATCAATTAAAAACTGATGTGGAAAAGGCTTAAAGAATGCTATTTTTTTGTTTAATATTCTTAGGCATTCTCTTTTGCAGAATTCGCCTCTGCGTCTCAAGTCGAGCATCAAAGTGCCGCGTTATCGATGGAGCGATAGGAACTGTTTTAAAACCCTGGTTGTTCTGTTAGCAATAGAAAACCGATGTGGAATAGGCTTAAACAGGAATACAAATATTATTCTCAAACAAATAAAACTCACTAAGAGCGTTTTTAAATGAAAATTAAGTATTCGATCCTCATACCCAACAAAGACACTATAAATCCGCGGGAGCAAGAGGGGCAGTGCTAAAAAAATCCTTTGTCCTTTATCGGCGAGATACAATGTCATGCACACGGCATGTATTTTGTTTTTTCATTCTCTTTTTTGCACCTTTCTCATCGCTTGTCGAAGAATAAATCTCGGAGCAATGGGAGTAAGTAAATCCCTACCAAATCGCACCAGAACATAGCTTTCTCTGCCTATAAACATTACTCAATACCTAATTCTAGTTTAGTAGGATAATATTTTACATACACCATCTCCACTTTGCCTTCGGGGCCGAGTTGCTTGCCCTTTTCGGTGGTGGGATCGCAGATGTGGCGCCGATGGCGGGCCTGCTTACAGGGCGGGACACCATCGATGGGACTTTTTTGGCAGACAGGGACAGCAACGCCGCCACCGCCTCCGCTGGCCACGCTGCTGTCATCGGCACCCACATGATCGTCCTCAGTGTTGCTGCCCTCAATGCTGCCGCTGTCCGAACTGGAGGCAGTGACATTGGCGCCCATCAGATGGTCCTGCATCAGATTCATTTGGCTGCGCGAACAGTCGCGTGTCCACAGCAGTTTGGTCAGGGCCGAGGCAATGTAAATGCTCTGCTCGGTGTGATCCTTGGGGTCCATGCGGCAGAGGAGCGAGTACAAGTGCATGGCCGGACGGGGGGCCAGATTCTTCACCAGCGACGGCAGTATATCGAAGATGGTCTTCGAGCAGTGCTTTAGTTGGGTTGCCTGCCAGATGAGCTTGATGTCGTCCTCAGAGATTTGATTCTCGACAGCCAGAAAGTTGAGCAGAATGTGGGCCTGTTTGACGATCTCAACGTGCAGATTGGGCCCGAACAGATGCTGCACAATGTGGTTCTCCGTTAGCCAGTTGGCGATGCGCTGGCCAAAGAGCTCCACCTCGTTGACCGTCTCCGTGGTGCAGATCTCATTAAAGAGGTTTATGTGCGAATTGATCTGGGACATGCCTGAAATAAACCAATGGAATACGATGCTCAATGGGCGATTTAATTAAAGGTTTTTATTGTGTGTGACCCACCTGCCAGACGCATCGTCAATGTGGTGGATGTGAAGTACTTGAAGGCCAGGGCCAGGCCCTCGGTGTCAAAGTTGACGGCCACATCGAGGGGATCGCGCAGCGAGGACCACACAAAGTCCGCCATGGCACGGGTGGCAGCTGAGCGAAGATTCTGATCAGACAGCTTGCACATGAACTGCAGTATGCGGCTGCGCAGCGGCACAAACAGCTGCGTGTTGCAGTGATAGTTGAGCCAGAGCTTCACATTCGACACAGCGGCGGTCATAGAGTGGGCCGTCGACACGGGCAGGTCGGGATGCTCGAAGCAGAGCGACATGGCCCCAAAGCCGCCCGAGTTACAGAATAGGCTCACATTTCGCAGCAGGTAGATGGGAAGTTCATTATCGTGTAGATCACAGATTAGGGCCAAATGGTGGGCCTCCTCCGCCTGGAGGTCGTCCAAGCGCGAGTGCATCCCATGCTTGTGGGCCATGTACAGGGGAAAGTTGAGCAGAAACACCTTGGATACGAGCACCAGCAGTTTCTCGACCTCCGGCAATATCCACGGCTCCTCCGTGTACTGAATGTGCGTCTTCACACTGGGCGGCGGCGGTGGCGGTGTGCTGGGGCCGCTCCTCTTGGGCGGACCATCGCCAGAGGCTTGGATTTCGTCGGCACCGGACTCCTTTCTGTTCTCCCCAGTTGGGCTAGACTCCTTGGGCTGCTTGTTCTCGCTCTCTGTCGACAGCGACTCCGACTCATTGCTAGAGTCCCGCTGCTGCTGTTGTTGTTGCTGCTGCTGGGCCTGGGCCACCACCTGAGCGGCACTGGCCGTGAGACGTTTGTAGTTCTCGATCAGGTGATCGATGTGCTTGAGATGCTGCACCGTCAGGCAAATGAGGGACTGCACCACCAGATTGAAGCGGTCGTAGTTCTTGTTGTCCCTGTACAGGCACATGCACTGCCGCTGGGGCCATGACTGGATATAGTTGAATGTGGTCTCGATCTCGCTCTTCAACAGCAGCTGGAATTTCAGCTCCGAGCTGGCCACGCGCGCCTCATCTGAAAGAGCGGAGGAAAAGCGGAAAATTCAGTTGGCTGTTGTTGGTGAGGGTGGGGGTGGTGCGTGGGCGGGTAGTCGTCGGCTCGCCGAGCAACGAGCACCGAGCGATACTTACACAGCTCCAGGAGGCTCTGGAAATCAGTGCAAACCTCGCACATAGTGCACTAGTTTGGTGGCCCTGCGAGAGCGAGGGGGAGGACCCTACAAAGAAAAAGCCGCGTTGCGACCTATTGGCGGCGGCGGCTGCGGCCGCTTTTCCTCTAGATTCGTGTTGGAGAATTTGCTGCTGCTGCTGCTGGTGCTGGTGCGCTTGTGTTCGTTCTCTTCACTCGCTCACGGCAAACGTTCAATTCCATTTATAACTGCGCTTCGAATACCTGCGCTCTCGCGAGAATAAAAAAAAACGTAATTTTCAGCAACAAAAAAAATTAAATTTTACACTTAGACATATATATATGTACTATATATGTGAATATATATACAGAGACGTGCGGCGGGAGGCAGGGTAAGCAGTGTGCCCGCGGATTTTTCGTCGAAATATACCTTCTGACCCTCAAAAATATACCCAAATATACCTTCTTTTTTACATAATGTACCGAATATATACCAAGGAAAATTATATTCCTCAATTTTGATATTCGATTTAATATTCCAAGCTGGATAGGACTCCCAGCACTGAACATCTAGTTTTATCCAATAGAGGAATCAATTTTCTACTATCTTGCGTATTTTTATTAAATTATAATATAAGGTTTAAACAGCAAAATGTAACTACACATTTGCTACATATCAACTACTTATTTGTGTATATACATATGTATATAGCCTCAAAATTCGGTGCTGCTACAGCGTGACCGTGAAGATAACGATAAAAAATACCATCCGGCCAAAAAATAAATACCATTAAATACCATTTCAGTATCGAGAAAATCATTTACATTCCACAAATTTAAAACAATTTATGAATTAATTAATTAATAAAAAATTAATTTCAAGTGTTTTGTCTATTTAAATAAATAAAAGATATAATTCAGATTATTACAAAACATATTTTTTATTTGATCTAGTGTTTTCTTTATTTCATTATTACATTACATTACAAAACATTACAAAATTAAAAATGTAGCTCATATACATACATACATTAGTTTAAATAAAAACAGTCTTTCCATTGCATATGTTTTCAATAGTCCCTCTAACAACTTGAAAATGACATCTCGAAGGCTTTGCCTATATAAAGTATTTTGGATACATTTTCATTTTTGAACCTATTGCGCCCTTTTGTTTTAATCATATTTATCTCTGAAAAGAGACGTTCACGAGAAGCGTTGAATACGGCCAAAATTAAAATACTTTTTGCGAACTTTGCTAAGTTAGCAAATTTGAAGCAATTATTTTAGTCTATAATATTGGCCACATCATGCCAAAACTTGCCTGGGCTACAATATTTGTAATTAAGTTTAGCAACATTAAAATCGTGTTTTAGGAATTGAAACTCACATTCAATCTGCTTTGGATCCGGTGCAAGACTTGGGAATCGTTCGTAAAGTTTTTTCAACGGATAAAATTCGCCATCTATTGCCACTTCAGGGATCAAGAATAACATAAGCTTTAAAGCAGGTTCATTGAAAGGAAGACTATTTTTTAATTGAACGCATAATTCGATTAACAAGCTTTGCGTACGAATTAACACAGAATTAATCTCATTTTTGTCACTTTTGAATTAAGTTTGGCAAATTCCTTATTGAACTGAAACCCTAAATTCATTTTATTTATATTTAAGAAGTCAACTGTACTCGTGGGATCCTACTTATCAGCTTCAGTAGCTTTTATGTAAAATTTTTTCATGTAGCATGAAGCCTTGTTTTTGCTCTAAAAAAGCCGGCACTTTGTGACGTGTTTTTTTGTGGCAGCTCAAGACAGAGCACTGACAAATTTTGCAGTACGCGTTTTCGGTTAACTTGCAGCTTTCAAGCAAAATTTTTGCATTTGGAAGGTTTTGTTTGCTCATATAGCCCTTTTTACCCGTACTCAAAAAGAGCTAAGGGGTATATTGTATTTGTGGTGAAAGTGGATGTGTGCAACGCAGAGAAAGAAACGTTTCCGACCCCATAAAGTATATATATTCTTGATCAGCATCAATAGCCGAGTCGATATAGCCATGTCTGTCTGTCCGTCCGTCCGTCCGTCTGTCCGTCTTGTTGAGCGCCTGGATCTCAGAGACTATAAGAGTTAGGGTAACCAAATTTGGTTTCCAGACTCATGTGATATCACACTGCTACAAGTGTATTTCAAAATTTCGCCCTGCCCCCTTCCGCCCACACAAAGGACGAAAATCTGTGGCAGGCACAATTTTAAAGATACGATAAAACTAAAAACGCAGTATCGTAGAGAATGCCCATATCTACCAGATTGCCGAATCTGAATCAGATCGGATCATAATCATAGCCAGAATGAAGAAATTAATTTTCTGTTGCTTTCCCCGCCCCCTCCGGCAACAAAAACTAACCACTGATTCTCTTTCTCGCTCGCACACTCTGCCGCGTTCAGTGCGCGAGCAACCCCTAGCGGAGGAGATGTAGAATCTAAATGGTACATGTATAATATACATGTTAGATGTAGAATATACATAGTATATGTAGATGTAGATAACAGATGTAGCAAAAAAATGTAACTTTTTTTTTTCTAAAATTCAAAAAAATTATAATCTCAAATATGTATATACTGACTGAGTACGGGTATAAGTAGAGTCGCGTCTTTAGAAGCGACTCACACGTTCCTTCTCGTTTTGATTTAATTTGTAGGATCTCCCGGGCATAGGAGCCAGGCCAGAAAAATCAGGGCAATCCGGCGATCAAATGACACTTAACCCACTTAACACCCCTCGTTACACCCCTCCTATGCCCGGAAAATCCTACAAATTAAAACAAAAAGAAGGATCTGGAAGTTCGTTGAGCAAACTTTGTTAAACCGTGGAAAATAATACTATTTGTAAAGGCTCCTTGTAGCTCCATCCTCCTCTTTACTTACAAAACAAAAATCACCACCGACATCTTTCCCCTTTAATGCGTAAAATATGTTATAGTAACATATGTTTTGTGTTTTATAAATACATTTATCCCGGTTCTGATACCTATTATTGGTACCCGTGAGCTGCAAGATTTCGTTAATATTTTCAAAACAGAGACTGAGTAGTTTCTGCGTTAATTGGAGCCTGAAATTACAAGCAATATCTCTCTTCATGACGGGATGCGAAAGCAAGACGAGCATTGCAAATTTTTGTGTGTACACAGACACGACGAAATATTTATCAATTCTTACTTTCCGAAACCGTTTTTGTTTTGAGTTTCCAGGTTACGTAAATGTGTGTGTGCCACGTATTCTCACATACTGTGCTTGTGTGCGGGTACTGAATGGTTATAACCATAACTATAGTGGTTGCACGCAACTAAGCTGGCTGACCAAATGGCAGAACTTAAATATGACCAATTACACCACGTCACCCGCATTGTTGCGCTTATTTTGTTATTAAACACGCCAAATTTACAGCAATTACTCGCTGACACCTTTTAACAGCTAATTTTACTTTAAAATTCTATTTATGCCCGGTTAGCCGTGGATCTCATCTTACTATCAATATTAAATAGTCATCCAAAAAATGAAACAATGGGTTTTTGTTGTTTAATTAATTCATTTTGTTTTGTTTTTTTAAAGTAATGAAATTTTCCCGCTCTCCGTCTGGAATATACAAAAAAAAACAAGTTTAAAAAATAACAATTTTCAAAAATACTAATAATAATCGATAACGAGAATGTCGATATATATATATATGTCATCGATATATCATCTCGAAACTAAAATAGTATTTAATGGTATTTATTTTTTGGCAGGGATGGTATTTTGTATCGTTATCGTCACGGTCACGCTGTTGGCGACTTTTTGTCATTGTTTACATGATTTTGTGAATTAAAAAGATAGACTGATTTTATACACTGCCATGGAAGAGGGCCCAATGGAGACCAGCTCACCCACAGAGTCCAACTCCGATGTTAACTTCCCGACTGAAGAGGAGAAATCGACGGAGCGAGCGGCGGCGGCCGGCTTTTGCTATTGGTATGACCATCCGCGTCGCTGTAATTAGGCGAACAAATGATAACAAATTCTTCATTTTTTAGCGGGAAAGAACGCAACCTGAACCTCGTCGAGCTGCTCTGCGCCACATGCTCGCGCTGGGTGCACGAGTCCTGCGTGTCCCACCAGCTGGGCAAGGGAAAACTGCTGCCATTCATCACCAACTATGTGTTCGTCTGCAAGAACTGCTCCGCCACGGGTCTGGAGAGCTTCCGAAAGAGCCAGGCCAGTAAGTGGGATACATTTTGAAGCGTGGTGGCCAAATAATAGTAAATGCATTCTTTCAGCCATTTCCCAGATGTGCCACTGTGCCATTGCCAACATGCAGCAGGCGGCATCTCGCGATGGCAACCGACAGATCCAATTCAGCAAGGACAAGGAGATCATTCCCTACATCGAGCAGTACTGGGAGGCCATGACCACAATGCCGCGCCGGCTCACACAGTCCTGGTACAGCACCGTCCAGCGTTCCCTGGTCAAGGATGTGCAGACCCTCTTCACCTACGAGGAGCATTTGGAGAACGGTGCCATGTACGGACTGTTCCACCAGGACCTGCGCCTCATCAAGCCCAACTATGAGAGCATGAGCAAGACGGGTGCACTGCGGCTCACCGAAGATGGCTATACGCAAGGTGAGACTGTCAGAAAGATCGGAATTGGGTCCCGAAAACATGCATCAACTTTAATTACGATCGTTTCCGGGAGAGCTATTAGATGTAGTTATTTTTCGTGTCTTATGATCAGTTCTCCGACATGCACTCTAGAATAAAGACTAGAATCTGTGGCACAGTCCTGTGAATAGAGAACGAATACATGCAAATTGAATGCAAGTTTACGCCACATGCATGGAGAAACGAGAAAGGTCCTGTCCTGCGTTATATTAGGGATCCTAATCTTCAAAATTTTCAGACTCCACAGGTTGCCAGGGCCAACGTATTTGTGCGGAAAAGCTAAATCGTCAACACTGTCTGCACAGCTGATTTGGGGGTCTCGTTTCTGAAGTTGCATCATTTATTGCTCATTCTGCTTTGCATACTGTCTCCCATCTCCCCAAATAAACGTGCCCTCCCTCTCTTTCTCTATGGCTATGGATCTTTTGTTTGATCGCGAATTGAAAGAGCGAGATAGCCAGATCGTTTCGCATAGCTTTTTTTTGCACACAGGGACATGCAAGAGTCGAGCCAAAACACAGATACCGAAAGAGAGCCAGTGGAAAGGGTATGCTAAATAGAAGGTGAGGCATCCCTCTTTCCGGGGAGCTACTGTGTGATATTCGGTCACACGCTTTCTTCTCAATCCGAAATAGTTCCAAAACATACAAATAAATATGCACAAGTGTGTGTGTGTTGGCGTTTTGCAGCGTTCTGGCATTGATTCGCGCAAAAGTCTTGAGGCACCTTCTCTAGGACTGCCCTACCTTCTGTTCTGGTACCTTGCCTTGGCCCGTTGGCCCCAGCGCACATCTGGTAGGGCCCACGTATTCAGATTGTGGGGCGGGGTGGGGCTAGCAAAAGCACTCCTCGCTCAGAATTCATTCATTGCAAAAAAAAAGAAGAATAGTTACGCTTTTATTTTGTTGTTGTATATTTTGCTCGCTTCGCCGACCCGCGCTCTGCGTGTGTGTGGAATTGATTTTAATTTGATTTTTTGGTTTTGATTTTGAGCACGACGCAATTTATAGTTTCTGCCCTCTCTTTGGGTTTTTTTCTCCTCGTTTTTTTTTTTGTAATTTGTGTGTCCTGCAATGACGTCAACGCTGGCCAGCAGCAACGAGGAGGAATGTAAGCCAACAACTGCAATCCGAAACGAACTTTGCCCCAATCCCTTTTTATAGCCGGTCACGTACGCCCCCAAAAGTTAACGCCTCTCCCTCTCTCGCCCTTCCTACCTCCAGCAAATCTTGCCAAGAACAACAGGCAGAAGCGCAAATTTCCTGGAACCGATTCGGGACCCACGGGGAAGAAGGGTCGCCCGAGCTCCGACATAACTGCCAACGTAAAGCTGCCACCACATGGCTACCCCCTGGAACATCCGTTCAACAAGGACGGCTATCGGTACATACTGGCCGAGCCCGATCCGCATGCCCCATTCAGGCAGGAGTTCGACGAGAGCTCAGACTGGGCGGGCAAGCCTATACCCGGCTGGCTGTACCGCACCCTGGTGCCCCATGCGGTACTGCTGGCCCTGCACGATCGGGCGCCACAGCTGAAGATCAGCGAGGATCGACTGGCGGTGACGGGGGAGCGTGGCTACTGCATGGTGCGCGCCACACACTGTAAGTAGCCTTAGAACACATGTTGCTCCAAGCGCTTCAATCAAAGCCAATGATTTCCCCTCCCATTTGCAGCTGTTAATCGCGGCTGCTGGTACTACGAGATCACCATCGAGGAGATGCCCGAGGGAGCTGCCACGCGCCTGGGCTGGGGTCGAGAGTATGGAAATTTACAGGCACCACTGGGCTACGACAAGTTCGGCTACTCCTGGCGGTCGCGCAAGGGCACCAAGTTCACAGAGAGCCATGGAAAGCATTACAGCGAATCCTATGTGGAGGGCGATACCCTTGGATTTCTCATTGAACTGCCCGAGGAGGCATCTCTGGAGTATCTGCCAAATACGTTCAAGGATCGGGTAAGTCCGTGGCTCGTACCCCGTCTTACCCCATTTTCTGACTGCAAACTGAAAATCCGTTGCAGCCACTGGTGAAGTTCAAGTCCCATCTGTACTACGAGGACAAGGATAAGATCAATGAAACGCTCAAAAATCTTCACATACTGCAGGGCAGCCGCATCGAGTTCTTCAGGAATGGAGAGTCGCAGGGCGTGGCATTCGATGACATCTATGCGGGCAGCTATTTCCCCGCAATATCCATACACAAGAGTGCCACTGTAAGCGTGAACTTTGGCCCAGCCTTCAAGTATCCCGACGTGCTCGCCGAGCGTAAGGCTAAAGGGGTAAGCAGAAGAGTCCTCTATTTGCCAAAATACCTTCAAGCATCTAGATGACTGATAATCTTCTCTCCTACGCAGATGAACGACCGTGTGGAGGAGCTGATTACGGAGCAATGCTTAGCCGATACCCTCTACCTTACCGAACACGATGGCCGTCTGCGATTGGACAACATTGGTTTGTAGCTTCCGTCTGCAAATGATTCCGAATAAAGCATCCTTTAAGTTCAGTTTTATTTGCTAGTTGTATACATGGCATGAGGTTACTTGAAGGCTTTGAATTTCGAGGCACTGTACGGTATGTAGAAGGCACTGTTGGAGGCAAACTCCGACCGCGGATGGTGCACTGCAGCCGAGATCGAGCGACCAGTCGACGGTGTGTTGCTCGAATTGGTCGGCAGCGCGAATGGATGCAGGGTGCGAGAGGAACTGTTGCTGTTGCTGTGACTGTTGTGTCCACCGCCGCCGCTCGAATTGGTCTGGCTGGAGGTGGCCGTTGTGGTGGCGGCTGTGGCTCTGCCGTAGTCCCTGTGGCGGCTTAGATTCAGTGCCGGCAGCACAATGGCATTCTTATTGTTCGAGAAGAATCGGCTGGCGGCCATCGGCATGTGCCAAGCGGAGCGGTTGCCCGCATGGTGATACTGTCGACGCTCTGTACTGCTCGCATGGGTCAGGGCAGCCGATTTAGCTTGCTGCTGTTGTTGTTGCTGCTGCTGCTGCTGGACCTGTGTTAGCTGCACGAAGCTGCGGTTGTTGAGGAGCCCGCGAAACCGACGATTCGTGTCCAGGACGTTTAGTATGGGCGGCATCCGCAGGCGTGCCGACTGGGGCATCGCAGAGCTGAGTTTTGGGGGCAGCTGGGCTTGGTGTTGCTGCTGCTGGGTGCGTTGTCGCTTGAGCAGCTTCACCGACACCGAAGTGACACGCAGATCGCGATCCAAAAGGTCCACCAGGTTGTGGGTGGGACGCAGATAGCTCCGAGTCTGTTGGTGGTGTTGGTGGTGGTGCTGCTGCTGCTGGGGATCTGCCGTGGGCGTTCGAAAGCCATCGTCCTCAATATCCTCATCGTCCAGCGAGTTCAGACTGAGATTTGAAATGGAATCTATGTCCACGGACTCATCGTCGCGCCGCGTTTGGCTGTCAAAGCTCTGATGGCGCAGCGACCGCATCCGCACTTTGCGGCCCACCAGCACGGGGAATTTGAGCTGCCAATCGGCGATCTCGCGCCCGAGCTCTGGCTCCTGCTCCGGCAGCATCTCCTCACCGCTCAGCATGCGCTCCACCCGCTCCCAGTCCAGCAGGTTCTTCTTGATGGCATCGTCCGCCCAGGGTATGGAGCCCACAGAGCTGCGGTCAATGCTGCTGGATGAGTAGGGCACGTCCTGCAGGAACTCCGAATCGTCGTCCCTGTCCGCATCCGGCTCATTGTCCGCATTGGCCCCATTGTCGTTCTCGTTGTCGTCCTCGTTGTCATTGTTGCTATCCCGGCGAGGATACAAAAGCCCATCATCAGCACAATCATTGTCCACGTCGCCCGGGGTGTTGTATCGTTGCTCTGATGTGAAATAGTAACGTCTATCTGACATTAAAACTGGTTCCGCAAACGTGCTGGACTTGTTCTAGTTTGCTAAATCCCAGTCTCCCTGTTGTCCTGCCGTCCTGCTGTCCTGTCTGCAAAGGATGTGATGTGCGCTTGGATGTGTCTCCTTAAAATCGATGCCGCAAAAGGCGGCGAGAGACAATTGTTGTGTTGTGGCTCATTCCAGTTTTGCTTGTTATTTATTATCCTTTTGTCTATGGTTGTTTTCCATTCATCCCCCAAGCCAGAGCGCAGCCGCAGTTCCCGCCCAGCGGCATTGCCAGCAGTGAAAATAATTAACGTACGCTGCTTTAAATATATAGGATTTTATTTGCAGGTTTTTAGGGGTCATATAAGTAATTTTTACCGTTGCCATTCATTAAATACTGTAGCTACAGTTAACTATTTAAACCAGAAATTATTGTATGAAAGCAATTTATATTCCTGAAAATCATGATCCGAGAATGACCCAGCTCATGCGATCCATTTCATCACCACTTAAGTTTTATGTATTTATTTATTTAGACATTTTCTGTTTAAACCTCCAAAAAATCTAAAAAATTAGCCAATCTACTGGAAAATTGATTCATCTATCTGATAAAATTATGTGTTCAGTGCTCAGAGTCCTAGGAGGAGTGCTCAGGAAACAAACTTTTTTGTTTTCCACGGCTTAATTAAAGCTTTATCCTTGTATATCCGTTTTCCACGGCTTAATTAAAGGTTTATTCTTGTTTAAATAGAGGGGGGACAAGTGGGCCACATCCTTTTTTTCTTCGGTATATTTACGGTATATTTAAAAAATGATGAGGTATATTTTGGTATAGTTCATTAAGTGTTTGGTATATTACGGTATTATAGAAAAATAGGCGGTCACACTGATGATGGTCTCACAAAAACCCAACAACTTCACAACTTCGGACGTGCGTGCCCCAAAAAGCCGGTAAAATCGGCCTAAAAATATCAATATAAATATAAGTGGGGCGTGGTTGCAGTAAAAGCCATTGCTGGGGGCTTGCACCAAATATTTAAACATTTATTTGCGAGATTTTAAGAAATTCACGTGAGAAAATAAGTGCGTCGTCGCGTGTGTAATTATGTGGCATGAGGCACGCAAGCAGGAGCGAAAGATACGCGGCCTCATTGTCGACTACCGCAAGCGAGCGGAGCGTCGACAATATTTCTACGACAAAATCCAGGCGGATCCCACACAGTTCCTGCAGCTGCATGGCAGACGGAGCAAGATTTACCTGGACCCAGCGGTAGCGGCAGCGGGCGATGGTGCCGCCATCATGCAAGTGATATTGAGTTTAAGCATTGCATTCTTTTCTTTTTGATTACTTCAGGAGTTACTACTGGAGTTCCTGTTTGCGCAAAGCGAAGCGAATTAAACATGTTCTTGTTTCGTTGCAGTGTGCCATGGCAGGGGCAGCAGGACAATCTGATTGATCGGTTCGATGTGCGCGCCCATTTGGACTACATTCCGCCTGTTGGCAAGAGCGGCGAGGGTGGCGACTCGGACACGGATATGACGGCCGAGGAGCGGCAGTTGAACTACGAACGCTATCGGATTCTGGCCCAGAACGATTTTCTCAATGTCAGCGAGGACAAGTTTTTGCATCAGCTGTACCTCGAGGAGCAGTTTGGGGCCAATGCCCAGCTGGAGGCGGAGCGCAATCTGGCCAAGAAGAAGCAGAAGACGGGAGGCGCCACCATTGGCTATTCCTATGAGGATGCAGGCGATGCGGGAACAGCCACTATTGGACCTCAACCCTTTGGGCATTCCATGAACGCGCCAGCGGCGGGGGCCACCGGTTCCGCCACAGCCGGCGGCGGTGACAAAGGCGAGGGCTCCGATGAATCCGACTCGGATATCGATATGGACGTGTCCATAGACATTGGGAAGCTGGACACGGCGCAGGCCCACGAGCTGAACGCCTGTGGTCGGAACTATGGCATGAAGAGCAATGATTTCTTCTCGCATCTCACAAAGGATGCAGACGAGGCGGATGCCCTGCGCATTGCGCGCGAGGAGGAGCAGGAGAAGATGCTGCTCAGCGGTCGCAAGTCGCGCCGAGAGCGACGAGCGCAAAAGGAGCGACGCATTGCCAATCGGCCGTTCAGCCCGCCCAGCTATGCGGCCAAGGAGGACAAGAAGGGTGGCAAGAACGAGAAGGATGAAGAGAGCGACTCGCGCTCACCCTCCCCGGCCGAGGCTGGGCCCGAAAAGATCACCTACATTACCTCATTTGGTGGCGAAGACGAAATGCAGCCGCACTCCAAGATCACCATCAATTTGTCCAAGCCCGGTCCCACACTGGGCGAGTCCTGCATCAATGCCAGCACTGGGGCGGCCATCGCCAGCTCCGGCGCTGGTGGTTCCGTCTCGTATGCCCAGAAGGTCAAGGATAATCTCGACAAGCTTAAGCTAATGAACGAGTCGACCAAGCGCAGTGGTCGCCGTCGGACGCGCTCTCGCTCCCGCTCCCGCAGTGCATCCGCCAGCAGGAGTCGCAGCGGCAGCCGGCGACGCAATCGACGAAGTCGTAGCTACCGCAGACGCAGCCGGACACGGTCCAGACGTCGGCGCAGGTACTATTCGAGATCTAGGTCCCGATCGAGGTCTCGTTCCCGCTCCCGCTCTCGATCTGGTTCGTGGAAGCGTTATAAAAGCCGCAGTCCCAGCTACAAACGATCGCGCAAGCGCTACTCCTACTCCTCGCGCAGTTCCAGTGCCAGTTCCTTTGAGGCGGGACGCAGAAGACGCAGTCGCTCGCGTTCCCGCTCCCATTCCGGTCGTCGTAGCCGCACCACGAAGAAGACCTCACCATCGCCGGCTCCTCCTGCGGCGGGAGGCGGCTACTGCCTGAGTACAACAACCACAACAACCACATCAACTCTGACAGCTGTGAAGCTGCTCCAGCAACAGCAGCAGCAGCAGCTGCAGCAGCTGCAGCTACAGCCCAGGGCACCAGCCCCGCCCATGATAAGTTATCCGCTGTCCACGCGAGTCCTCGGTTTGACCACGACGACTCCAGCAGTTCCAGTAGCTTCAGCAGCTCCGGCAGCTCCCGCAGCGCCTGTACCCGCGCTGCCGCAGGTGGTGGAGGCACCGCCGCCGCCACTCAAACGTTACTATGGCCGGAAAAGAGCCAACGACACCTCCTCCTCATCGTCATCGGGAGGCGGCGATAAAAGCGAGGCCAGCGAAAACGAGGAACCACTGCAGCCAGCAGCGAGCAACAAGCCACAGGCCGATGATTCCGATGAATTGGAAGCGGATACTGCGTAAGTTTGGTGATGCAGCGCCAGCGGTAAAGTAGAGGCAGAACCACGCACCATTAGCAGTCCCTCTTCGAGTGTCAACTAAATGGGTTTTCGTATCTGTTTCAGGTCAGAGCGATCGCATGCGCTCCACCACCCAGCGATGTCGTCAACATGCAGCACGGGTAATCAAACAGGCAAATATAGTTCTGCTACCGAAACCAAAGTCAGTAAGCAAAGCCAAGTGTCTCATTGCCTCACTTAACCGGAGTACACCACCAAAATTTTCACGTCTCTTAACCTTAAACCTGCTCAAAATCCAAAAACCGAAAACAAATTCAATGAGAAATCAATATTTTACCTATTAAGGACCTTTGACTATGTGACTAC